CGGCCCGGGGGCAGGGCGCTGCGGAGGGGCAGCCACAGCTTGGAGCCCATCGCGTCGGAATGTCGGGCGATCACTCCCGCAGCCTGGGCAAGGGTAAGCGCCGCGGGGCCGGCACAGCTCCCCGGCCGGGTGAGTGCCGGCTCAGCAGACAGGCCGGACGGTGACAGCCGCTCTCCTCTCCCCTCAGGCAGCGCGGCGCCGGGCCCTGTGCCCGCGGGGCTGCTCCGGCTCTACAGCATGCGCTTCTGCCCCTTCGCGCAGCGGGCGCGCCTGGTTCTCCGCGCCAAGGACATCAGGTGAGCTCCTGCCCGCACCCCAGAGCCCGCAGCCAGCAAGAGGCGGGCCTAGCTGCCTTGGTTTCCTGAATTAAACATCCCTGAGCGAAATGATGGAGAAGAGGCTTTCTGTGCGTGATTTTGCTCTAAAGCTTGAATAAGTAGGCTGTGTGTGAAATCGGCTGCATAAAGGCCCAAAGTAAAAACAACAAGCTCATTTTCTTTTATAATTATTGTCTGTGATAGCTTGCCCTGAGTAAATGTGAGTAGAGACATAACATATGCTGTTTGTTTTTGATGTGAGTGGCCATGAAAATTCTGGAAGCTACGAATTTTCGGTGTTTCTGTTGTGTCACTGCCCATCAAAACACACTAGTGAGTGACTGACCTTTTTAAACGTGGAAATGTATGGTGTTCCTTATTGTCTTGTTCTCGTGCTGTAGTAAGTTAATGAAATTCAGTGCTTGTGTTTGTTTCTTTTTCGAATTAGCCATGTAATTTCACCCTTCTTGAGTGGGGTCTAATGTCTCTCTCAGGTACAGAGTAAAATTACCTATTTTTTCCATCTTTTTCTGGTTTTGCCAAGTCCAAGGCCCGCCAGTGGTTTGTTACCCAACATAGGGCTGGGAGTTCATGTTAGAATAGGGAATGCTAACAGGTCAGGTCTCTTGATAGTAAGATGAGAGTTGAGTTAGTTATGCTTTTTTTTTATGTGGGTCTTTTTTTTTTTAGGAAGAGCAGAAGCAATAAAATTCTGGGTCAGTTTAATTCTGTTTTTATTTAATGTCTTTGGACTGATTTTGGAGCTGGGAGGTTTGTTGCTGTGTAGTGATTTTGGAGGGGTTTTATGGCTACCTGTATGTGATAGTTGCCTTCTGGTAACTTCACAATTGTTTTGAATGTTAGCTGTGTTTAGCAGACCTCTGGGCTTACTAAGAATTTTCTGGGATCATAACATGTAACTCAGCATCTAACTTCTGTTTTCTAAAAATAGACATATTTCCCATATATATATATAT